CACAACGAAAGGCTGCCCGCAAGCAGCGAGCTGCAGCCCACATGAGCGTCCAAGGAAGGAGGAAGAAGCCGCACAGCTACTGATCGGATTCAGTAGCTCTTCATGAGTCGCCGTGGGCTATCTATGTCAAGCGCGTCACCCTCGTTCCAAGGAACATACTGCCCTCCAGCATTAGCCGTATTGAACACCCTAGTAGGTCAGCATTACTCAACCATCACGACAAAACGGTTCTCTTCAGGACCACCATAAATTAATGTTGTTTAAGAGTTAATTTTCAATGAACGTTCGCTCGCCTTACTGCCAGTCACATCACCCCCAAAGCTCTTTGATAATGTACCCAGGAACCAAACGTTTGTGGTCAAATACGTAACAGTATTCAAGTGGTACATACAAATTGACTGAATACCACAATACACAGCCTTCAACCCATCGGTCAGCAGGAGGAGATCGGTCGGCTGAAGAACAACAAAGCAACTGGTGTAGATCAACTACCAAGTGAGCTATTAAAATATGGTAATGGAGCACTGGCTAGAGCGCTGCACGGGGTAATTGCCAAGATTTGGGAGGAGGAGATTTTACCTGTGGAGTGGATGGAAGGTGTCGTATTCCCAATCTACAAAAAAGGCGACAAATTGGATTGCTGCACACTGCTGAGCGCCGCCTACAATTTGCAAGAGAGTTCGTGGGGCAATACCAGGCGCGATTCGTGGGTGCCCACGCTACCACGGACCAAATTTTCGCGATTCGGCAGGTTCTGCAGAAATGCCGCGAATACAACGTGCCCACACATCATTTGTTCATCGATTTCAAATCCGCATACGACACAATCGATCGTGATCAGCTATGGTAGATTGCGCACGAGTACGGATTTCCGGATAAACTGACGCGATTGGTCAAGGCGACGATGGATCGAGTGATGTGCGTTGTTCGAGTATCGTGGACACTCTCGAGTCCCTTTGAATCTCGAAGAGGGTTACGGCAAGGTGATGGACTTTCGTGTCTGCTATTCAACATCGCGTTAGAAGGTGTGATCAGAAGAGCTGGGATAGACACGAGTGGCACGATATTCAGGAAGTCCATCCAGCTCCTTGGTTTCGCCGATGACATTGACATTATGGCACGGAACTTTGAGACGATGGCGGAAACGTACATCAGACTGAAGGCTGAAGCTAGGCGGATTGGACTTGCCATCAACCCAGCGAAGACAAAATACATGAAAGGAAGAGGTTCTAGGGAAGACAATGTTAGCCTCCCACCCCGAGTTCAGATTGACGGTGGTCGATGAGTTCGTGTATTTGGGCTCACTGGTCACCGCCGAAAATGATACCAGCAGAAAAATTCAAAGACAGATTATGGCTGGGAATCGTGCCTACTTTGGACTCCGAAGGACGCTCCGGTCGAATAAAATTCGCCGTCGCACGAAGTTGACTGTCTACAAGACGCTGATTAGACCGGTGGTCCTCTACGGCCACGGGACCTGGACTATGCCCGTGGAGGACCAACGCGTCCTTGGTGTTTTCGAATGGAAGCTGTTGCGTACCATCTACGGTGGAGTGCAGATGGATGACGGAACGTGGAGGATGCGAATGAACCACGAATTGCACCAGCTGCTGGGAGAACCATCCATCGTCCACATTGCAAAAATTGGGCGACTACGGTGGGCTGGGCACGTCGTAAGAATGCTGCATGACGACCCAGTGAAAATGGTTCTCGATAGCGACCCAACAAGAACAAGAAGAAGAGGCGCGCAGCGGGCAAGGTGGATCGACCTGCGGACCCTTCGCAGACTACGAGACTGGCGAAGTGTGGCCATGGCTCGAATAGAGTGGAGAAGACTTCTTCGGACAGCAACGGACAACAAGGCCTTAGCCTGATTGGTAAGGTAAGGTCCTTTTGAGGACCACACATGACTAATAAAAGAGTTTATGTTAGAGCTTGTATTCAAGACACATCATCCAGGATTGGCTTGTACTACATGGACAACGATAGAGCACCTCAAAAACAGAACACTCAAATTGCTTCCGAATTTCAACCTATCGAACTTTTTCACAAATTACGAGTTAAGAAATCAATTTAATATTTTCCATACTTTTACATCCAAACTACCTTTCGTAATCCTACGTCAACTCTACGGTTGTGTCTTGGATACAACCTTTTACTTTTATTTCATAAGATAGAGGGCAAAGTTGTTGAACGTAAAATTTTATGAGAAGATGCACAAGACATAAAAGCTGTACAGCTTCAAACAAGCCTTCTCAGCATTATTTACAATAATTAATAAAGTTTGCCGAAGCCAGCGATTCCTCTAGCTCATTACTTCATATATTTATTTTGATTATTTATGAAAAAAAAATAGTCAAATCAGTGAACTAATGATCAGTGTGTTTAAACTTTATTCATAGTTATAACAAGCCATAACTAATCTATTCTTAAACATCGAATGAGTTAACTTGGCAAGGCGTGATTTTGAATATAAATTAGTATAATATATCAATTTTTCTTTTAGAGATTGATTACCAATTCGAAAAGGTCGATTTATTCAAGTACAGACGATAACTTTTATTATGAAAATGGTATGACTAATAAGTTGGAACTCCAATCTACCTTATTCATCACAAGAGAATGCGCCCATGCTTCAGAGTTGGTGCTTTGATTTGAATTTAGAAAGATAATTGTATATAGGGGTAGTGCACCACTTATGATATTACTTAAAATTTTCTCCAGTATAGTCATGGGCAATGTGATTTAATTGGGTAGGGCTAAAAACTAAACCCAAAGCGTATACGCCATTACCGGCTCATTTTCTCTCTCTTACCGGAGATGAACCAGCCCAGGACTGAAAGTCTTCTTAATAAAAATATAAAAATATTTCAAAACAATATTTAAACTAAATGTATAGAAAGTTGAATCATCTTCATTCTTTTCATCGCTAAAATAGTTTTCAAAAATCATAGCTCAAATCTAGTCATCCATTATTCCCAAGACTACATCCCTTAGCTCAGTCGGCAGCTACAAAGCAAACCATGCAGGGGGTGGCTGGGTTCAAATCCCGGTTCCATCTAGGAATTTTTTGGATTGGAAAATATTTCGACTTCCCTGGGCAAAGAGTATGATTCTACTTGCCACACAGTTATACTAATGCAAAAATGGTACAGAAATCGAAAGCTCTCAATTAATAACTGTGTGCATCTAGAACACTAATTTGAGAGCACGCAATAAGCTAATATGCAAAATACTATAAGCATGAAATGCGAAAAAGAAGAAGAAGCCGCAAAAGAAGATTCAGCTCTATTGTAGACCGTCCCGCTTTATCCTAAAACTATACAAATATTTGCTGACGTAGACAACATCTTACGAGAAGGTGCAGGGAGTAAATCGAAAATCTTAAATTGTGATCGTCACGAAAAGGTGTTAGGTTTTGAACGCTTATAGCTTTGTCATTTATAGATGAAATCAAAATCCAAATGCACCAATCGATAGGAAATAGCTCTACAAATCTGTTGACATGAATATTTTTTTTTTCAATTTTCCATAAAAAACTGTCGAAAAATGTACAAATAGCAAGTGATAATGTTGTCATTGTTTTCATGAAATAAACGTTTTTCCTAACCCAAACGTCATAATCAACTACCACTGGATTGCACATCATTCTGCTTTAATCTGTAAAGTTATAAAAGAGAGCTGCTGTCGTACCTCCGCTCATTTTCGCATCGGTCTACGATACGTAACTATGATGCTGCTATCAAAAAATTTAACAGGTGGAGAACCTGTATACGAGCTTTCGCTCTGCATTTGAAATTGAATAACTGAATCCACTTAATTTTCAATTTATGTTGTACTAAGCACCTACTTATTGGAAACCAAACGTTTATTAGAGAAAAGTCACTACTACTTCTACTGTATTTTAAATCAATATCAAGAAGAATGCACGAGTAGTTTACTAAATAGTTTAACGTCTACGTCAACCATGCGGTCGGGTCTTGTACACAACCCCACCAATTTTTTGTTTTATTTTTTTTTTTAATATAAAACTATTGTTATGCTAAGAACTTCAACCGTTGACTAAATGGCATATTGTCATATCATCCCATGAAAATCTCATAAAAATATCACACGTCCGCAAAACCCATTACCGCATAACGCCGTCCAAGTGAAGACATATGAATATTCTACCCCGCCCGGAAGAAAAATACATTCCCCAAAAAAATACAGCAAATCTGTACACGGTAGTGCAAAACATATGCAGAAAGCTACTCGCCCATACATATTTATTTATAGCTTCAAATTATGAAGCGCACCACCTTTCAAGACACAAGACGTTGCTCCAACCAACCACTTTGCATGCCCGGCTTCTATGATGAGGATGCTGATGATGATGATGGGAACGACGACGACGACGACGACGACGAGACACCACAGAAGACGACGACGTTCGATGAAGGGATCGCTGTGGGATTTTCAAATCTCAACAGGTTCCTGCACTTAAGGGTATTTTCGCATTTTCCGATCACCCATCAGGCAAACCCTGCTCCTCCTCCTCGTCCTCCTCCACCGTTTGCTTCCTTTGTGTCAGCCTGTGTTTGCATAAAACCATCCAGGAAATCTTGGAGGCATTCTCAATATTTTTACAACCCCTTCCGGTACATCCCCCCCCCCCCGCTCGTGACCATTTCGCTCTTATATGTGGCTTTGTAGAAACGGATGGCTTTCGTTTCGAATATGGATAGATTTGTGTGAATGGGGAGGAAAGTGTTGGCACAAATTCAAATCGGTTTTACGACGAATCACTCTTTCGCACAAATGTAAGGAATTGCTTCTCTTGATCGAAATGAGGAGGATGGGCAAGTGGCTTTCTTTTGTTTGTGGTTTTCAAGAAATAGATGAAGATATAACACATTTTTATGCAATCGATTTCATTCTTGTTAGGGTGACAGTTCTAGGCTGCTATGAGAGTGCTAGTAACGATTATTGAGAGTAATCGTAATGGTTGATATAAGCATTTACACCAATATTGGTTTCAATGTGCAATAATACAGCATTTCAACAACTGTTATGAATGAGATGCCCAGAAATAGGGAAAGTAATCCTCCGCAGGAAGCCAGGAATTCAACGACTCCATATCTGACCGTAATTCGGGATCCATAGAAATGGTCTTTCTCGAAGCGTACCAGTACTTCCGAGTAGTTGGCTGATTTCAAAGAACTGTTCGAAGCATTGCTTTTGTACCTGATTTCGTTACAAGTTGGTAGGCAATTGCAGGATTGCACGAAATACTTTGACAGTGGTATGTCCTGCGATATCGCTCGAATCATGATTTCCTTCTGCAGTTGATCTTCAGAAACGGATGTATCGTTGCACAGTTGGACGCCAATCGGACGAGGCATGTATGGCAGGACGCAGTTCCGTGTATCCAAAAAGTAATTGGTTCGACATTCCAACTCACAATTCTGCTGACTATAGATTCGGAAGAAACTAAGCTGACGTTGATCGCCGAAATAACACTTGGTGCTGGGGATGTAGAAATTCGTGATAATAAATTGAAAAACAACATGAAAGCAAATCCCATTTTTATGATTTGTAGTCTTCGATTGACTAACTTACCTTTGTGGGCAACTGAACTTCAAATATCTTTGTCCCATCGACTTCTTGGGATGAATCACTATCTTCACCGATTGCCCAGGTTCAATCAGTATAGCATTCTCAGCTCTATATGGGAAGTCAATTGGATTATGCAGGTCTATTGATACCGCGGTGAAATTGCTACAATTGTGACCATTATCAATTTCAGAAAATCTAAATTTTATCTTCAACTCATATGCCGGGGACAAATCAATTGCTCTTCTTGGGTAGTACTTGGCAAATGCGTCAAATGCTCCATATCCCGTCTGAAGACTCCAGTTTTCAACCGATTGTGATGCATTCGACAGGACAAGTTCGGTGGACATTCTATAAATTAACAAAAATAACTTTGCTCCAGCAAATCACCAAACATACGGACGCATTTAATATCTTACTCACCCATCTCTGTTGAACAGATCTGCAGCAGCCACGTTGTTGAAGGTATAGCAAACTCCTTGCTCCGTTTTGGTTTCCGTAAACAGAGCCTCACAGCAAGCGCACTGTTGGCCCCAACAAGCCTGTTCGCAGAATCGCTTCAACGAAATCACTTGCTCCGGACACTGTCCGCAGATGGTAACCGCAGGAAACGGAACACTCCAAATGGACGAAGGGGTTTCATTCACAACAGTTTGCAGCAAATTGTTTGCCATTTTCTTCCAGCTGAGTAGAATTCCGAGACTGCACAATGTGACACCAGCAACGATCACGATCAGCCAAAACAATCTTTCTATCCAATGAAGCTCTTTGTTAAGCACATGCTTAAGGGCCTGGAACGAAGTCTCGCGCTGAAACGCCTGCATCGTGCGATTCCTCAAACTCCCAACTTTGTATTGATCGAACACCCTTTTAGGACTGCTCTCATCAATTTTACCTTTCGTGGAAAAGTCCAAGTGGTGAGAATCGTCCATCTCGTCTAATCACTCTAACGCGATGCAATCACTCAATCCAAATGACTAGGATAGCCGTGAGTCAGAATCCTTTATAAAGATTTTCGCCCACCTCGGATTCGGAGTCCACTTATATTGCACTTAATTGACCGCACCAATTTAATCTAATCAATTAGTCACCTCCCTAATAAAGTAAGGATAAATTATAGGAACCGTGAAAAGAACACTGCTTCGGTCGATGGGATGGCACCCGATAAGCACGGTTGAGTTCCGGTTTTTTTTTCTGGTTTGCATTCCTTACCTAAGTTGCGGTGAGAGGGTCATCCATTTCAGTGGGAGGTATGCTAATGAGGAATTCATCTGGAAATTTTTTGTCACACCTTCGCCGAAAGATAGGCGCTAATTTATTCCACCCTAATGAATATATTTATTCTTTTTTGTCGGCACGATGGACATAAATAAGTGAATTATTTTCGATGGTGCTATAAACAGAGGGGTTGATAAGGATCTAGAATGAATTTCGAGAAAAATCAACTAATCAGTTGAAGACGAAAATTTTAGTCTAAATTCGATGGTTAAAAATTTTGGTTGAACATTTGAGTCCTTGCTTTGATGCACGTTCAAAGTTGGAAGTCTTTATTTCATGAGTAAGTTTCAATAAATTATGAGCATGATTGAGAGTCAAGGAAGTAGCCAGGTTTCAAAATAGGAAGCGGGGTATTTTTTATGATGGACAATTAGCCCATTATGTTGTTATAAGGCCAAGGTCACTAGGTCAAATGAGTAATTTCAACGAAATTTTAACTTCTGTCAAACTGCATCAATATTTTATAAGTTTGTGCCAACAAATGTCGATTCGCATTTTTTCCTGTCTTTTCCCGGAATTATTGAAATTTCACGGATGAGCGATAGACATTTGAATTAAGCATAAAACCAAATGCGATTCAGCCGTAAGGATCGGTAGATTAGATAATTTAATTAAACTTTAACATATTACACTACACTACGAAGAATTATCACAAGTATTTTGGTTTACTAAGTGCTTCTCTAAGTAGAGCCTGTGTGTGTGCGTGTGAGTAATTAAAATCTAACTCCCACTGTCTGGCAGTAGCATTATGGATAAAATCTTCCCGCAATCATTTCTTATGAATGCAACAAGCTTGAACCCGGGAGTTCGAAGGTGACAGCTCTACCGTAGCTTCAATTGCAAATTACAAGAACGCAGGCATTCCTACGCTATTTTCACACACGATAAGCCCCGCTCCAATACATTATCGATGCTAATATACACCATTGATAGCGCGTACTAAAACTTTCAATAAACGCATTTAACAAGTTTCAAAATGATCGTCTCAATTTAGATGGATAAATCCTATCAAGGAAAGAAGAACCAAAAGGCGAATAAACTTAGCTGAGCGTTGTTATATGCAACGGAGAGAAGTTTGATAATTTTCACTTAATGTAATTTTTAACACCACTTCTGTACTTTCCAATTAACACATTTTAAAAACGAAATTGTATATTTTTAACATTTTCACATGAACGAAAACGACGCAGCAAAACAAAAACACATCATTTTCGCAGCGTGGCCTACTTCGATCGTTCTTCTCTAAGTAGAGTTAGAGTCGGTGTATAATGAGTCACGCCAAGAGAAAAACAGTTGAACTCGCATCACGGTTTTCGAAAGATTCCCTTTCTTTTAACTTGGCAACAGAGGACTTCTCCATCAACTTCAAATGACTTCTAGCGAGGAAAAAAATTAGCGGCTGTAGTAAATCATTATATCAGTGATTTTGTCGAATTATCTCAAGGAAAAATAGTAGAAATTGTCATTACTGATCATTACAAAACGTATCGCATGACAAATGTAATGCTCAATGCGTGTATATGATCATTTCTTCGGTTTATTTAATATTTAATTGCAATACCTTTCGTGGACCTTTCATAGCATCGTAATGCTTGTTTACTTTGCACGATAGGTAGCCGGTTTGACAGTTCAATAGGTAGACTTGGCTTCACTCTTGGCGTGACTCATTATACACCGACTCTAAGTAGAGTCTGCCTCAGATTGTCAGTTGCTTATAACAGAGGAATTTTGCAAGCAATTGTTTGTTTATTCTTACTTATTAAAGAATAAAGACAAATGAATGGAAGTTGAGAATTGTGCAGCGCATTGCAAAAAATGAATTCTATTCAGAATGGTGTAGAAATTATCAATAGTACTCTCATGTATTTCTCTTCACAATTATCGTGGAGTTCTCTTCAGAATAAGAGAGTGTCTAGTATAAGAGAGGAGCGGACTGGCTGGTTTTGAGCCAAACGAACTGTGCAGCGCAGCGAGCAGCATGGGCAGTGTTGCTAGAAATCACCTAAGCATAGGTTGCCAAGGCAGTTTGTTTTGAATCCGCTCCTCTCTTATACTAGACCCTTTCTATTCAAAACTATCTTGAAATTCACTTTAGAGAGCATCCTAGGGGAAGGACAGTTCCAAGTATCAGCATCAATACCGATGGTGGACATATCAGATATTTTAATATGTGTGATATTTGCGAATCTTATACTTACTCTGACAATTGTTTTTTTGTTTTTGACTATTTTTGGTTTTAAGTGTACATTTGACATTTGTTAAATCTAAAATAGATTTCACACGAGAGGCAAGTCATTCCTTGAAGATCTCGCTAGCCACCGCCAACGCAATTCGCTCATTTTTTCGCATAAATTAAGCATTCTTTGTTAGCTGATCTCAGTGCACATTATCGGCCGCACTGCTGTTCTCAGGAAATAGTCATTAATTTCCACGAATTCTTCATCGTCTGCAAACCAATATGCTGTCCTCCGATGGAACGGGAATCGACTGACTACGCCGCCCCTGTAAACGGAGTCCAAGAGTGATGGTTCGTATTACGCCCGATTTGCCATGAGCAGAGCTGGTAAATATCACGGCCGTCATGTGACAATGAGAAAACAGGCCCTCTCACTATCACGATACGAAACTAACTATCATTGGCTTTCTTGTCATTTTCCAATGATCAAGCACTCATGAGAATAATTCTTATGCAGTTTTGACATCAACATTTCTAACTGATTTAGATGAATTTAAGCAAGCAACTGTATGTAATCGCTAGAGTGAATATATTATTAAGATTTCCTCGGAACTAGGAACATTAATAGCAATAAATGTGCTAGTAATTACGATGATTACACCACTGTCACGCTCTGTCATGACGAAAAATTCTATAAGATTTTGAACAAAATCTCTATCATCGTTTTCTCATCCGATGATAGTGAGTATCTCTGAAAATAACGCGTGAGATCTTTCATTGGAAATGACATTTGTCAGCCCTGGCCATGAGCCTACAGCTTGCAGAGATTTGCTGCGGGGGGAACGTCCAATGCCGTTTTTATCATAAAAAGCCGAAGCCGAAAACGATCAGAGCTATCGAAAACGAAAATCTAGGCAAAAATTATGACAAACAGAAAGCTGTAGTTAACATAAACAACAACGGTGAAACGTCATTGAGTGTATGTGTTAATGCAACACTGTTAAAATGTTTACTTTGTAGCTTTCCGCTTGACAGTTAATTTCATTAATATTTATACTAAAAACTATAATAACTACCAATTTGATCAATTTTTACACCAAATATTACTTCAAATCAAGTTGTACTTCCCCTAGGGAGCATCCTTAAATTAAGTCACGCATCTAGGGGGAGGACGTTTAAGAAAACGTGACCGAATGTGACAAACTAGGGAGAGAGGGTTTCCTCAACCATGACGTCACATCGCCATACTTTATCATTTTAATTTATGAGATCTTATACCATGAGTACATTGAAGTTAGTAAATCACAACATGTTAACATCGGTGCTGTGTAAAACATCGATTCACTTTCAAAATGCACAGATAGCTCATTTGGTATTAGTAAATTGTAATTATCCTGAGAATTCGAAAATTTGGAATAACAAAGATTGAAGTTCCTTGAACTAGTTGGAAGAAACCTTAGAAACATTTAAAGTTTCGTGAATTAGTAATTAGTAAAAAACACAAAGCAGTCGTAAGGTCCATCGATTAGCTAGAACTTCCGTTGGACCTTTTGGAGGTTCCGTATACTTGTCGTAAAATGCGTGAGCGTGTCGGAAGAACATATCGAAAGATCAGTGACATTTTCAGTAGT